TTTTATTCAACCACTTTTTCTACGTTTTGTGGAGCTATGATATAGCCCATCCATTTTAGTCGAAGGATGTAATTATTATAATTAAATTACAAACAATTAAAAGAAAAAACAATTGATAAATAAATAGAATAAAAGGAAAACAACGATCTCTAAATATATATATATATATATATATATATATATATATATATATATATATATATACTCATTGACTTTTCCAAAGCCTTTGATTCCATCAACCACTCCATTCTCTTTTCCAAATTAAAATCATTATCCTTTTCCCATAGTTCTATCCTATCGTTTCAATCATTCCTTTCCCAACGCTCACAAGCTGTCGCTATTCCTAATCAACCCTTGTCTTCCTATCTTACTTTGTCCGCAGGAGTGGCCCAGGGCTCTAGCATATCTCCCCTCCTTTTTAGTTCTTATATCAATGACATCCATAACTCAATCCTTCACTGCTCCCCTCACCTTTACGCCGATGACTCCCAAATCTACCTTTCCTTCCATCCCTCAGAGTTGCATGAAGCGTTTGCCAAAATTCAAGAAGACTTGAATCGGATCAGTGCCTGGGCAAACTTAAATGGGTTAAGGTTAAACGCTGCAAAAACTCAAGCCATTGTCATTGGTTCCAAACCCCTTCTCAGAGCCAATACCAACATACCTATACTGTACCTAAATGACCATCCCATTACCTTCACCTCCTCAGTAAAAAACCTAGGCATTTTCATAGACCAAACCCTATCCTGGAAACACCATATTGCTCACATTACCCGACAGTCAATTGGTACCTTGAAACTATTCCATCGCTTTCGCCATCTCCTACCCATCTCCACACGTAGACTCCTAGTAACTTCCCTCATCTTCCCCCACCTTGATTACGGCTGCGTGGTGTACGGTGGCCTCTCGGCAGAACTCGGGGAGAGACTGAAAAGAATTATGAATGCCTTCGTAAGATTTGTCACAGGGGCCCTGAGGTATTCCCGTGTTTCGCACCACTATGCTGAATTAGGATGGCTCTTCCCTTCCTTCCGAAGACAATATTTCCTAGGCACATTCCTTTACCAAATAATCAATAGTCATCGTCCGTCCTACGCATACAATCTCCTACAATTCAAATCATCTATCCACACCCTCTCCACAAGATCTCGTCCTTCTGACCTTTACACTCCTTTCCATAGATCTGCATCATTTAAACATTCCTTCGTTGTCCGTTCCACCGAATTCTGGAATTCCATCCCTCTAAAAATCCGCCATGCATCATCCTTAGCCACCTTTAAAACCCTCTTATTCCAATTCCTCTTCACAATCCAATCAGACGCTGGTTAAATACATACTATGTAACCCCTATTACCAAACTGTCCTCGTTAATTTATCCTAAGAGCTTAATTAATACTTAATGTATTACATGTATTTTGTCATTATTCATTGTAATAAGTCTTTTGACCAGATTTGTAGTTAATATATATGAACAATACTGTTATTCTAAAGGGACCTAGTCCCAGAATAAAGATGATTTTTCTATTCTATTCTATTCTATATATATATATATATATATATATATATATATATATATATATATATATATATATTTTATATATATTCATAGCGTTTATGAATATTCAGAAAGACCTAGATAGGATCAGTCCCTGGGCAAGCTTAAATAATTTAAACTTAAACGCATCAAAAACTCTTATAGGTTTTGCAAAGGCAATTCTTATAGGTTCCAACTCCCTCCTTAGATCCATCTCCACCCTTCCTTCGTTGATTATTAATGACCAACCAATCTCCTTCTTCCCCTCTGTAAAAAACTTAAAAAAAAAAGGAAATACCATTGATCAAAACCTATCATGGAAACCCCATATTGCTCAAATATCCAGAAGGTCTATTGGTACTCTTAAATTATTTCATCGTTCTCGTCAGCATCTCCCACAACCTATCCGCAGGCTCCTCGTTTCCTCATTGATTTTCCCCTACTTTGACTATGGCTGTGTGGTATACGGCGGCCTCTCGTTGGAGCTTGAGGACAGACTGAAGAGAATCATGAACTGTTTTTTAAGATTCGTCTTCGGCACTTCGAGATGGTCTCATGTGTCCCACCTATATGCCGAGTCAAAGTGGCTCTTCCCATCCTCCCGCCGCCTTTACTTCCTTGGAAATTTCTTATACCAAACGATCAACTCCCAGCACCCTTCCTATATCTGTTGTCTCCTCCAGCCTAAACCCTTAGTCCACTCAATAAAAACGAGATCCCGTGTTTCTGACCTCTATATTCCTTTCCACAGGACAAAAGCCTATGAACGTTCCTTCTTAGCCCGCTCCGTCTCCTATTGGAATTCTTTGCCACATAACATCCGCCAAGCCTCTTCACTGTCAACTTTCAAATACCTCCTTTTCCAATATCTCCTTACATCCCAAACAGAAGATTTACCACCATAAATTTCATTTTATGAACTGAATTTGTGTGAAGTAAATAGTGGTGCCTACTGTTTAAGTTTTCACATAAAACAGCAATGATCTTTGTCACCTAGTTTGACTATTATTTTTACTATTTATTTATTTTTCTCTTCTCCTAAGGTTGTGCTTTTTTTTTTTTTTTCGGGTATATATGTTCATATTTTATATATTTGTCTTTATGTGTGCCAATATGAGAATGTACGTATAAATAGTTCCTTTTAGTTATTTTTTTTTTCCGTTACACCACAAGTATCGTAAGACTTTATTTTATCTTAGTGTCTGCATATTATTATATAAACCACTGTAGATATTATTTCATTTTGTATTAAGTTAGTTTTCAATTAGATAGCCTATTGTTTATAAATTGTGTTATGTATATATAAATATGTAATTTCTCTTCTTTTTTTTTTTTTTTCATCACAATTAAGTAATTTTGAGAAGATTTTATGTTCATTTGTATATATATTATTTTTATGTTTTACTGGTTAAATACTTTTTAAATAATGTATATAATATTAAAATTTTTAGAAGTTAGTTTTTGGCCAGATTTGTACTTTACTTTGTATTAACTCATCATTGTTATTCTAAAGGGACTTAGTCCCAGAAGTTTAATTTTCTATTCTATTCTATTCTATTCTATATATATATATATATATATATATATATATATATATATATATATATATATATATATATATATATATATGCAAGTTAAACAAAAAGGAAATAAATGAAAAATATTCTGATCTCGAAAGAAGACAAAGCTAGCTGGTTAATCCGTAAATACACAACCACTCTCGACGAAGTCTACTATCTAACTGACATACAAAAATAATTTGAAATATATTTAAACTACATTCAGGCTGACAGTGGCGGTTTAATACGAATATATCTTTAACAATGTCTGCTTAAAAGTTGTAAGAAATCAATTTTCCGGAAGATATTGAACTACTTTTAAATCGCAATCTTTTTAAAAAATTGATTTAAAAGCACCTATTTTTGTTAGCAAAAAGGGAAAAAGATCCGAAGTAAAAAAAAAAATTGTATACATTATAATATTTTTTTTTAGTTAAAAAGATTGGCAGTAAAAAATCGGTAAAGTTTCAAGAAAACAGTATGAACTACCAGACCAAAACAAGCAATTTTACAAATCGCGCGAAACTCCATAAAATGACTAGGTTTTCAATTGAATTATTTAATAAAAACAATGAAAAATGTATATTCTGCCAACTGAAAATATTGTCAAGAATTCCAGAAGGCATCAATAAAACAGTTTATCTAGTTCTTGCAGTTAAATAAAAAAACAATTTAGCCGATGTCGCGGGTTTCCCCTTAGCAAGGAGCAGCTCAGCTGAGCTTTGAGACGGCCGAGGTTTGGTCTTGGAAGCTAACTCCGCTACGCACAGCTTCCATACCACACCTATTTACCACTGCCTCCCAACCGTTCCTCAGTGTCAGGGGTGCCCAGAAGGGGGTTTCATTGCGCAAGTTGCGTCATCAAAAATTTTTAGGGGGCACATTTTGACGGGGTTTTGATTTTTTTAGGGGGAGGGCCCAATTTGACGGGGTTATACATTTTTTAAATTAAAAGTTTTAAATCAAAAGACGAATGGACGTATGGAATTGTCTTCAGGATTTATAATTGCACATAATCTAAGAATTTTAGAATTATACTTTTGGTTGCACTGTTTTTAAGAAGAGGATAGCAATAAAATACTCTGGGAGGGGTGGGGGAAGGTTCATGCGCCATCTAAATTGAGGAGGATGGGCACCCTGATCAGCGTCATCCTTTTTTTCGCTTGTTTTCACTGCACAGCCTCTCAAATTATTTTATTTTGGTTCAGTGTAAAATATGTTGCCGTAAAATATGGATGTGGAAGAATTCTTAATCGAACGTATAAGGGAAATATTTGATTTTATACACAAATATTCGATTTACTTTTCAACACCGACATGATCAACTATTTTTTAAAAATATTGTACATGCTATATACACTTTTTAAAAATGTTATACGGAATATGAGAAGGGTACCGATGCAAGGAAAGTTGCTGACAGCTAAGCTCCGCAACGCAGTCGGTTACCGACCCTCTCTTGCTACGCTCAGCTGCGCTTTCCGGCCAGCCTTAATATACAGTACATATATGTAGATATAGATATATATTGTCTTTACGATATAATTTATTTTTTTAATTTATACAGCCACAAATTTTCTCCGCCGAATATTTTTCTCCCTCAGTCAACCATAGTACACCATAATACTAATATTAAATATACAAAAGCTTTTAATAATTACTATGGAAAATGTAAACAAGAATAAATATATAGCTTTTAATATTCATCAAAGGAAAGTAAGTATCACTGAAACAAATAAGTGATTAAGTTAAGTGAATAAGATTATTAACTTGAACGTAGAAAAAAATGTCTAAAGGAAATATAAGGCAACTAACAGTTTTCAAGGTTAAGCATTAAAAATTAATAAACAAAGGGAATGAAAAATTGTTATACTAAATTAAAAATAACAATTGTATTAAAATTAACATACCTAAAAAATATATCATTAATATAATGTGTGATATCATATCCTATATGATTGAGGAATGTTGCCTGACTTTGACAAGTCATTCGTCTTCACCATAGGTACGGAAATTGACAGTAATCTGGTCTCAGGTCTTCTTTAACCTCCTCCATTATCTACAATAATACATATAATTTATATCATTTAAGGTAAACAAAACATTCTGAAAAAGCAACCATAACATAAATGCAAGAATAAATAGGTTAAATCAGAAAAATATTGTACATTTTTTTATAATTCACGTGTTAAACACCATGATTACAAACTAAATTATCATGTATAAGCTAAAAAAAGATTGAAATTCGTTGACAACTTTCTTTAGCCTGCCCACGAAGTGTTATGTATTTACTCGTATGGTTTTTCGGAACCACAACCGATTACAATTACTAAACAGAGGGAAAAAATGAGAGGAAGATAAACATTGGCCAGCTCTGAAGAATTGCACAACAGTTGTCCTGTAAAAATTGAGAGCGGAAGATAGGTTTCGGAGTGGTCATTAGTCAGTTCTCATAAAGCAGAGAAATAATCTATAACCATGTTCAATAAAAAGATAATGCAATCATAAGGCGGCATAAAATGCATCCCGCCATGACGTAAGCATTAACGCTATTACGTGGAGAGTAAAGGCGGAATTCCACTGAGGCAACAGGAAAAACATGGAACATACCACAGCAAGTGTAATTGTATGTGATCTACGATTTTTCTGATTCCAGCTTAGCTTGCTCTGTTTAAAAGAAACGTTGAACAGTAAAATATCTTGGCAAGAGGAGGGGTAGTAGGTTCTTGCGCCATCGACCTTGGAAGGGAGGGTGGGAACCCCTGAATGTTAGTACTCAGTGAAAGCGGAATTTTAGTAGTGAATGCTCTATAACTTTTATTCTTTGAGTTTTTTCTTATAGAACTCATTCCCAAGCTGCAGCGCCATCATCATCACCATAATCCATTCTCTTGAACCGCATTAAGCAGTGTGAGGAGGAAGTCTATAGAGCCTTCTCCTGCTCCGCCGGTCTTCCACAAGACGCCTTCTATCATTCCATTGAAGACCTCTTCTCTGGAAATCGCTCTTTACCTCATCTTCCCATTTACTTCTAGGCCGTCCTCTTCCTCTCTTTCCGTCTACTTTAGCTTGACAGGTTTCGCTAGCTATTCTGTTTGGTTAAATCCGCAGAAGATGTCCTAGCCACCTCAGTGGATTCTCCTCAATCACATCATTGGCCAGCTTAATATTGAGGTTCGACCTGATGATGGTGTTGCGTACTGTGTCTCTTCTGATTTTCCTCTTAACCTTTCGGAGGAATCGCATTTCTGACGCGTGTATCCTCGATTGATGTTTCTTTGTTAGTGTTCATGATTCTGAAGAGTAAGTTAAAATGGGAAGAAATGTCGATCTGAAAACAGCTAATTTTGTATTCTTTTCCACCTCACGCCTGTTTAGAAAACATTTCTTAGCTGCTTCAAAGATCCTGCTCGCAGCAGCGATTCGCTTTATGAATCGATCATTCATAAATTCAATACACTATTTCTGATATTCATCATTAAATTCTAAGAACACACTTTTATATGATTATAGATACGAAAATTCCTACCTTGTTTTTTTCATCCTCCTGCGATTTTGATAAAACGTAAATGTCGTTTGAGCATTAAAACCATCCAATGTAAAGTAGTTCTTGTACTATTTCTTTTAAAGTTTTCTTTTTACTGTATTTTTGTAATTTGGGTATTTTAAAGTGCTGAATTTCATATTTCCGGGGAAACGTATTACGTTTCCTAAGAAACATGTTTTTCTTATCTGTACAAATTTTAAAAACAAAAATAAATTATAAATCAATATATTCATTTATATTTACTAAATAACCTCATCCTGGCTCGACTAATCTCCAGCATTCAATAACCCAATCCCCTCAAATAAAACACACAGTCTTGGAGACCTCGCGCGGGCTCATTACCGCGTATGGGGAGCGTCCCACGGGTGGCGGATGTGGGGATGGTCGGTGGAAATTCCTTGGAAGTTCCTCCCGGCTAAGTCCGATGGACTCGCTGACCAACAATGAGAGGGGCCCTCCAGACTTGCTGGAGGGAGGGGCCCTCCAGACTTGCTGGAGGGAGGGGACCTCCAGACTTGCTGGAGGTAGGGGCCCACCAGACTTCCAGGAGGGTGTGACGTAGGATTGAACGCCCTACTAACATATCTTCAGTTCACCAAACACCACAAATAGTCATGGATCTCCCTAAGGTAAAACGCTCATTATCCGGAGGTAAACTAGTCCCCCGTTCGGGTCTCCGGGTGGGGACTGCTTTAGGGGATTCATGGCGCAAGTTGAAATATAGAGATTTAAATATTGGTACGTGGAACGTAAGGAGTTTAAACACAGCAGGGGGGCTAAAATCGGTCGCGAATGAGGTAAACGGGTACAATTTGGATGTCGTGGCTCTGCAAGAGGTTCGCTGGCCAGGAGAGGGCTCGATGAGGGAAGGAAAGTACACTATTTGGTACGGAGGAAGCGGGAATCATTGTTTAGGTACCGGGTTTCTAATTAGGAGTAGATTACTATTCGCTTTGAGGGACGTACAATTCATTAGTGATAGAATTTCGGTAGCTACATTTCAGGGACGTTGGTTTAAAATCGCATTAATAAACATACATTGTCCGACCGAAGACAGTGACGATGAAGTCAAAAGTGAATTTTACGATAAACTCGAATGGGTTTATGATAAACTACCGCGAAACTACATAGAAATAATTGTAGGTGACGCGAACGCAAAAGTAGGAAGGGAAGAAGTTTATATTCCGACGATTGGTAAAGAAAGTTTGCACGAATATAGTAATGATAATGGGATCCGTCTGATAAACTTTGCCATCTCGAAAAACCTAATAATTAAAAGTACGACGTTTAAACATAAGGATATTCATAAATATACTTGGACATCACCGGATTCGCAAACACGAAATCAAATCGATCATGTCTTGATACAACACAGCTGGCAAAGCAGTATAATTAATGTACGGTCTTATCGCGGAGCAGAATGTGGGTCGGATCATGAATTAGTAATCGCGAAACTTCGACAAAAACTTAATATAAAAAAGAGAAAAGAAAACCGTTTCGATTTTGAGAATTTTAATTTGGAAAAATTAAAAAATCCATCAATTAGAAACCAATTCGAGCTAGATGTTAAGAATAGGTTTGAAGCTTTAGAGCTTCCTGACGAGGACCACGAGGATATTGACAAGTTATGGATAGAGATCAGGGATAATATTAAAGCGGTCGGTAACTCGTGTCTAGGAAAAAAGGAAAATAAGAATAACAAACCGTGGTTTGATGAAGATTGCTTAAACATGTGCGAAAAAAGAAAAGCCGCTAAATTAAAAGCTCTAAATAATCCTAGCGAAGACAATCTGGAATACTTCCGAATCTCAAAGAACGAAACGACAAAATTGCTCAAAAATAAAAAAAGGGAGTATCTTAAAAATAAAATAATTGAAATAGAAACTAATAGAATCGAAAATAACGTAAGAGACATGTACAAAGGTATAAACAGATCACGTAAATATGTAGGGCCCGTAACGTCTGGAATTAGGGATGATAATAACAATATTCTGACCGATCCGGTTGACATATTGAATAAGTTTAAGGACCACTTTGACAATATTTTAAATACGGGAAATTATGATCTGTGTCCTCCTTCTGAGTACCAGAGTGCTGAACCGTTAATAGAAGGACCAAGTAAAGAGGAAGTTGAAGTAGCTATCGGAAAATTAAAATCATATAAAGCAGCGGGAATCGATAATATTCCTACTGAACTAATTAAGGCATGCGGGGAAGCTGGAGTTTCTAAAATACATCGGTTGGTTAAAAAGATCTGGGTGAACGAGAAATTACCTGAAGAATGGAAAGAATCTATTCTTATTCCGATTCACAAAAAGGGTCCGAGGACGGATTGTAATAACTATCGAGGAATTTCACTCCTTCCGGTATGTTATAAAATATTCACTTTAATCTTAACCAGTCGAATCACGGAATACGCCGAGGAAATTATCGGAGACTACCAATGCGGATTTAGACGGAATCGTTCGACTATTGATCAAATATTTTCTTTACGGCAAATATTAGAGAAAAAATTGGAGTATAACGGTATTGTTCACCAGCTGTATATAGATTTTAAAAAGGCTTACGATTCTATTGACCGCCAGAAACTGTATAATATTCTAATCGAGCAGGGGATTCCAAAAAAACTAGTAAATCTAGTCAGGATGTGCTTGACGGAGACACTCAATAAAGTTAGAATCGGTAATAATTTGTCCGAAAAATTTGAGGTTCGTTCGGGCTTAAAACAGGGGGATTCTCTTTCGCCTGTCCTGTTCAATTTGGCATTAGAACATGCCATTAGGGAGGTAATGCGAACCGAGAAAGGGTTGGATCTGGGCGGGACAACATCCGTGCTGGGCTATGCTGATGATCTGGTACTGTTAAGCGAAGACGTTGAAACTATAAAACTAAATACGACAACGTTAATGAAAGCCGGTAAAGAACTAGGACTCGAAATAAACGTGGATAAAACAAAATATATGGTTAGCTGCAAAAATGGCGATACTACTGGTGATATCGATATAGATGGTAATATGTTTGAACAGGTAGATAAATTTAGGTATCTAGGTTCTACGATAACTAGAAAAAACGAAATTGAAGAAGAGATTAAGGTTAGACTGAAGGCGGGAAATGCTTGTTATTTTTCTGTGACAAAACTACTCAGTTCGCGCCTCTTGTCCCGGAACTTAAAAATTAGAATCTATAAAACAATTATCTTGCCTACAGTTCTTTATGGATGCGAAACTTGGCCGCTTACATTAAGGGATGAGCAGCGTCTTAAGGTTTTTGAAAATAAAGTATTGCGTAGAATATTCGGACCGAAGAAGGATGAGTTAACCGGAGAGTTCAGACGGTTACACAACGCCGAATTGCGTGAGACTGTATCCGGGTAATATAATTGAGGTAATTTCATCGCGGCGAATCAAATGGGCTTGTAAAGTTGTTGGGCTTAGTAACGAGAGAATTCCTAAAAGATTAATATTTGCTGTGCCGAATGGTAAGCGTCCGAGGGGTAGACCGAAGCGAAGGTGGGAAGATTGCATTAAAGCCGATCTGAAGGGACTGGGTTTGGACGGCGAACGGTGGAGGGAGGTGTGTAACAAGCGATTGGTGGTGTCGGCATCGAACCTTCGGGTTCGCTAAGCCTTTTATTATTTTATTATTATTATTATAGTCTTGGAGAATCACTCGCTAAGTCAAGACCTCTACCGTGCGTTTATCTGTTAATATATTAACCTAATATATAATATTAATAT